CCTACATAATTTGCATTGTCAAATTGAACTATTTTTATGGAATAAATTTAATGCAGTTCCTATTAAGGGAAGAGAGAGTTTCTTGCAAACAACAATGAAAACAAAATAGAGTCTAATTTCTTATTTTTTGATGATTTGTCTTTTACATTATCATATTTTACTATCAGGAATTTTGTGTGTGTGTGTGCACATGCTGTGTGCATGTGTGTAATATATATTGAGAGGCATGATGGTATACTAGAAAGAAATATTATTTTGGCGTAAGACTTGGCCAGTTCACTTTAACTTTGAGTCTTTGTGTCCCCCTCTGTAAAATGAAGACTTTGAACCAGATTGTTCTAATGCCACTTACCTGTGCCAAGTCTTACCTTGTGTAAGTATGTGCATGTGTGTGTATAGGGGGAGATGTATATCTGTGTGTTGATGTAGGGCATGCTTTCCCTTACGGTGTGGAGGCAGTTCTGGTCTCTCAGGGTTGGGTTAAAGGAGCGTGAGTGGTCTTCCCTAAGCTTAAAAGGCTGAGTGTGGACCTGTCTGTTCAGAAAGCAACCTAGAAAAGTCAGAGGCTTATCACCAACTTGGCAACAAGGTGTAGAATTTTTCTACCATAGCACTCATAGACTGTGTACTAAGTCACCAAGGGAGTTACACTATTTCACTGGAGCAAAGAGTGAGTATACCCATCTTGAACAAAATTTTGGATTCTTGAACTGTTGAAAAATGGTAGAGATATATGTGTATATATTTACTTGTATGAGTACCTACATATTTTTTTTTCCCTCCAAAGTGCAGTTTACTGGCTGTGTTAAGATATATCAAGTTATATTAATTATGAATTGCACACCTCTGAAAAGCTCATGGTGTGACTTCCTTTGTCCAAAAGCTAAGCCTCATATGTGTAATCAACCAGAACTACATATGATCATTAGTGACTTTATAATTCTAATTAAGAACATGACCTGTATTTTCTGGTGTGGTAGAACAGGAAACAGTAAAATTATAGAATAAAACATCAGGGAGATACTACAGCATTGAAAGACATTGGCATATGGATCAAAGAAAGCTATAGATGTTTTACATGAGATAACTACAGTACTGTATTTGGATTTTAAAAACAGACTTGAATTTCTGTGATTGCATAAATATGTCAGCCTAGGAAAATAAGTATTCATAGAATCTCAAAGGAATAAAATGGAAAAAGAATCTTTTTTCTCCTGAAGTGATTCAGTACTCGCTAATTCTACTTTTAAGGAATGTGCAATTACCATTTTCCTCTGCAGTTTATCGGCAACAAGAATATTTCTAAGTCCCTGGTAATGGCTAATGAAGAAGTCTGGGGGCAGCTAGGTGGTGCAGTGGATAGAGCACTGGCCCTGAAGTAAATAGGACCTGAGTTCAAATCCGGCCTCAGACCAAATACTTGACACTTACTATCTGTGTGACCCTAGGTGAGTCACTTAACCCCAATTGCCTTTTAAAAAAAAAAAAAGTCTGTAAGATGGGTACAGACTAATTGGAATACATTTCAGTTTCATAAGTTAATTTACTAATGGATTAGGTTATTTCTTGTTATGGAGGTTATATAAACAAAACTGCATGATGAGGTTGAGACCAAGGGTTAAAAATACCATTAACTTTCTATTCCAGTTTAAACACACACACACACACACACACATGCATGCACACTCACAACTTTGTTCTATTTTTCTTATAAGTTTTCACTCCCTTTAAGATATATAATTTTTCAGAATTGTAGATAAGATTGTAGCTTAAAATGAAGAAAGAATTTATTAGGTGCCTACTATGTGCCAAGCAGCATGCTAAGTGCTTTACAAATATTATCTTATTTGATCCTCACAACAACCCAGGAAGGTAGATGATATTATTATCCCCGTTTTCTACAAAATCTCAGTAATCACTTCAGCTAATGTCAAAGTAATTTTTTACTGGTTTTGTTTTTTTTTTAAAGAATGCACATGTAGAATCAGAAGTGACATATGAGGTCATGTATTCCAATCTCTTTATTTTTAGGGGTAGCTAGATGGTACAATGAATTTGATTTAGCACCAGGCCTAAAGTGAGGAAGACCTGAGTAGCCTTGGACACTTACTAGCTATGTAACCATGGGCAAGTCACTTAATATCTTTCTGCCTTAGTTTCTTCAACTGTAAAAGGGGGATAATAATAGCTCCTATCTCCCAGTGTTGCAAGGATAAAATGAGATATTTATGAAGCTCTTAGTATAATGCCTGGTACGTGGTAGGTACTATGTAAGTATTAGCTGTAGTAAATATATAATGTTTTGTAGATAAGGAAACTGAGAGCAAAGATTTGTTCCTGGGCTTTCAAATTCCAAATCTAATGTTTCCCCCTCCTTTCACATGTTTGACAAAACTCTAGAAACAATAACCTTGCTGAGAATTCTAGAGCTCTATATTGATTACCACAATGTGGTAATGATATCTAGATATTTCTCATGTTTTCCAGTGAAAAATTCACATTAGCTGTTGTCATGAAACTACTTTAAATCATCACATGTACGTGGGAGAAATCATGGTGTTGTTTCCAGTTGTCATTGTCATTTTATTTGTACCACTGCCAGTATGAATAGTGGGAATAGGTATTTGGTAAATGTTTTTAAACTAGTTTGAGTTACTGATTTCAGCTTTCCAATTTAGTAGTTTTACCCAGATGATTTTTTGAGTAGGGAGAAAATAGTTAATCTTTGCAAAGAATTTCCAGTGCTGTGTGTATTGCTTCCCATACTGTGGTACTTGAGCTTTTTTGAAAAATATGTATGGTTACATATAGCCAGGAATGTCAGATGCTTGGAAGATAAGTTTTCTTGTCAGTTAATTGTGTCACAGGTTCATTTGTTGCATTACATAGGCATACTTGAAAACTCAGCCATGAGTGAACTTGAGGCTTTCCTTTTTTTAGAGATGCCTAATCTTTTTTTTTGCTGCATTTATCTGATTACTCTCAGAGTTACTTAACTTTTATAGCCACGAAGGTTCACAGCCTGGAGTTAACAAAGCCACGGAAATAGAACAGGACTAAAAGTGGGAATTGAAAGCATTTATCCCAATAGAGTATTTTTATGCCGGGTTCCTAAAGTGAGAAAAGTTGAATGTGTTTGTTTTCATATATCATTGAAGAAGGGCCATGTTTTACTTTGTTTTCTGTTTCGGTCAAGACCTATTAAAACTCCCTGCCAAATGCCCAGACTCTATACTTCTCTAATCACCCTTTCCAGTCTTAGTAAGCTGTTACCTCATCTTGAGCACTGACTTCTATCCTTTCTATTCTGTTTCCCTTCAACCCTCAGCGTCAGATCTCATCACTTGCAGGGTTAAGGGGTGCTAATAGCCCACACCTGAGAGAAATAGAGTTTATTTTCATTACTAAAGGCTTAAAACAATTTTGTTGGCCAAAATTTTTTTTCCCAAATTTACTTCATCTGTTTTCAATTCTATTTCAAAAAAGGCTGTAGCTATTTAATAGTTCATGTGTTTAGTCACTAGTTGTTGCAGAAGCACTCAAAGAGACAGTATTGTACTAGATAAGCTTTCTTAAATTGTATTAACTTCAGAACAAAGGTCCTTAACCTAAGGTCTGCAGATCCTTTGGGATTTCTGGAAAGTTTTTGGCAAGGGGAGGGGGAAGAATGGGAGGAGAGGCCAAATTACATCTTTATTTTCCCTAATTTCTAACTGAAATTTAGCATTTCTTTCAATTACTGTATTTTAAGAAAAACCCAACATTCTAAGAAGGGGTTCATAGGATCCCTAGATTGCCAAATGGGTCCATGACACAAAAAAAAGAATAATAATCCCTGAGCGTGTCCAAAGGAGAGGAGGTAACCATAATGACGAGAGAGATCTTGAAACTCTGTCATCAGACGAATGGTTGATTGAAAAGCCCGTAATAGTATATGGTAGTGATCTTTAAGCATTTTAAAAGCAGTCTTGTAGAAAAAGAAATAAACTTAGCATTACTGTAGAGTACAGAACTAGAACCAATAAGTAGAAGTGACAGGAAAGCAGCCCATTCTAAAGAAGTACTTTATAAAAATGAGAGCTGTACATAAGGGAAATGGGCTGCCTCATTAATTCATCAAGCTGGGCCTGCTGAATGCTAGTCACTTGGAATTCCCTCCTTCCCTCCCACCCCTTCAGTGTTCAAGTCAAAGCCTGGAAGAAAGATTGGGAGGGAAATTAAGCTAGATGCTCAGTTAGTGTCTCCTAACTCCCAGTGCTTTGTTACGGGCGTGGAAGAAAAAGGTTATAGAGGAATTTCATAAAACTCAGATGATATTTTCAGATTTGTTTGAGGATGGGGGAAGCAAAGTGAGGCGAAAGGTAGCTTAAGAAGAAGATAAGTAACTAGATCTAGGAATAGACTCTCCCCTAGCATCATCAAAAATGGTCCTCCCTCTAATTAGCAGTACCACCCTCAGATGCCATGCTGCTTGTTTTCAAAACAAGTTGTTGTCACATGTAAAATACTGTATGAATGTAAGCTATTAATAATTACAGCAACCTCATGCTATACTTAAATATGAGGAAAAACTTTGGTAGTTTTTATTGTTTATACTATTTCTTAAAGGAAGGTTGGCATAATTAACTCCAATTTATATATTAGGATCCTGAGGCATAAATTAAATCAGTAGGAAAATTCTTGAGAAAATTATAACAAGCCCCTAGTCATTTAAATCTTAACTGCTAATGAAGACTATGCTAGATACAAGTGAAAGTGAACATCTCTTTTTAAACTTCCTGTTCGTAAATCTCTAGCATATGTACATATTTCACTAACTCTTAAGTTATCTAGAACATATTATTTAAAACCTAATCAATGTGAACATTAACATAGTGTTGTATAAATTATAAATGTCTGCCCAATTCTTCCCATTTCTCACATGTAAAATTATCATCACTGTCAAATAATTGAAACTGTCTTTTCCACAAAACTAACCTTTCTTCTGATTGGTTTTTTAGGAAGTGTATCGAATTCCAAAAAAGAGTCAGACTGAAAAAGAGAACAATGGTATGTATTCATTGATCCTCTACACATGGGTTTATGTGTTTCCCTAGTTGCACGTAGAGTTCTCTGAGGGATTTTGGGGACCATTGTTCTTTCTTCTTTGTGACTAGGGATAATATGTTCAATAAATAGAGGATAAAGACCTTTCTGGGACTTTTAATTCCTCATTTATAAAATCTGGTGGTTGAAGTAGGTTTTCTCTAATGTCCTTTCTGGCTCCAGCGTTCTATTTCAATATAATACTTACACATACCTTCCTTTTATCTAATGAAAATATAAACTCTTTTTCCAAAAACACTCCTATGAGAGTGTTATACAGTTTACCTAAATTTTAACAAAAAGCTTGTGATAAAGTATCTCATTTTTTTCTTGTGGAAAAGATGCAGAGATGTGGGCTAGACATTGGTAAATTTAGATGAATTCAGAAATGGGTGACTAAGCACGGTCATTTATTGCTTCATGTCAATCTGTAAGATCCCCAGTGGAATAACCCCCGGGGTCTGTGCTTGGCCCTGTGCTGTCTACTCTTTTCATCTACTCTTTTCATATTGATTTGGATAATGGGATAAGTAGCATAAATTCATATTGACAGAGTCCAGAAAGATCTTAAAACATTAGAAAAATCAAGTTGAATTACTAAAATAAACTTTAGTAGAGATAGAGCAATCAGGTTAGCATAGTGGTTAGAATGCTGGTCCTGGAGTCAAGAATTCACATTCAGCTTCAGACACTTAATAGCAGCATTACCATGGGCTGGTCACATAACTCCTGTTTGCCTCAGTGTTCCTCATCTGTAAAATGAGCTGGAGAAGGAAATGGCAAACCACTCCAATATCTTTGCCAAGAAAACCCCAAATGATGTCACAGAGAGACAGAAACGACTGAACAACATCATCTCTGGGTACAGGCAGAAGATGTTTGCTTTTAGGGACACTAAATAGGAGCTCTAATTATTAAAAGTTAAATTATTGAGATTTTATTATGTGGGCAGGGTTCTATCTCATTGTCTTGTGGAATCATTCTATGTATGAAGCAAAATTCCTTTTTTCTGAGGTTTGGGGGTTAGAGAAATTTTTAGAAAGAACTATTCCATCATCTTTCTGGTCACGTCTAACTATCTCTTTTAAAGTTGTCAGGACAGGATAGGTAATGAGTTCATTTATTTAGTTTGAAGTTTTAGTTTACTTTGATAATACTAAAAGGTAAAAGTCTAGTGACTTGGTTGTTTTAGTTAGCCTTTTTTTCTTTCAGGTGATCGGGGAAGAGATAATGTAGGTCTTAGAGACCAAGCAGCTACCCCAAAGACTCCTAACCGATCCAGAGAAAGAGAACCAGAAAGACAAACGCAGAGCAAAGAAAAAAAGAAACGAAGGAGTTCCCTTTCACCACCACCTTCTGCTTATGAACGAGGAACAAAGAGACCTGATGATAGGTAAGTGGGGGCAGTAATTACTCTGTGATTTGATCAAGGACAGAAGTACCTAAGCAAACATTCCGTAATTTCAGTAGGAGAGAATTTGGATTAACAAGTAACACTACAGAGAGATAAGAAAAATGACTGCAAACAGACCTTCAATTTATAGAGAAATTGTTTGATAGCTTTGAAGAAAGTAGTGTGTTGTGTGGTTGAAATTGGAAGTCAAATTGCAAAGAGTTGAGAAGTGATTGCAAAATGTGAAAGTACAATATAGAATGGTTTCCTAGGGGTTTGGTTTAAAAGGAAGCAAAGTTGTAGGATGATAGCCTTGAGTGGAATGTCAAGGTCAGGGGAAGGTAAATGGAAGCATAGGCATATTTTTTTAGGCCGTATTCCTAATATGGCCTAAATAGAAGAGATGAAGAGAGATATAGGGTTGATCAAAAGTAACAAGGTTCTGGAGAATATAGGCTCTGACAAACTTTGAAGTGCTTTAAAATTTTTAAAAAGGGATGAAACCTTTCCTGATCTTCTTGTCTTCTTCATTTTCAGATATGATACACCCACTTCTAAGAAAAAAGTACGGCTCAAGGACCGCAATAAGCTTTCCACAGAAGAACGCAGGAAGCTCTTTGAGCAGGAGGTGGCCCAACGAGAAGCCCAGAAGCAACAGCAGCAGATGCAGAACCTAGGGATGACTTCCCCCCTTCCTTATGAGTCCTTAGGCTATAGTGCTCCTCACCATAGCTTTGTTGGCTACCCTCCTGGTTATCCCATGCAGGCTTATGTGGATCCTAGCAATCCTAATGCTGGGAAGGTGCTATTACCCACGCCTAACATGGACCCTATGTGTTCTCCTGCCACCTATGAACATGCCCAGACTTTGGGACATTCGGTAGAACCAACCCTTGCAACTCCTCAACCAGTTCCAGTAGTACAACATGTAGCAGCACCAATGGAGGTTTCAACTTCACAGTACGTAGCACAGAATGAAGCCGTTGTCCATCAGGAACCTAATGTAGCTGTTTTGCCAGTACCTGCCCCAGGTCCTGTACAGGGACAAAGTTATGGTGTTTGGGATTCTAATCAACAGACTGTCCCTGTGCAGCAGCCATACTCCCCTGCACAGTCTCAAACAGCCATATATTACCAGGGACAGACATGTCAGACTGTCTACGGTGTGACACCACCTTATTCTCAAACGACTCCACCAATTGTACAGGTAACTGCTTTGCAAAATCAGTTTATTTTTGTTTTTGTTCTGCTTATCATATTAGCCATTAACTGTTGTGATTGAGAACTTGGTATCTTAGTCACAAAATGTTTAAAAGACAATTTACTTTTCCTTCTTCTTGTCTCCACCTTACCATTCATACTTTGTGTCCATTATTTTTGTGTCATCTAGCATACTTCTCAATACAGGAATTAACTCATGATCTTATGCCCAAGAGCCTTTATAAGAATAAAACGTTAGAGTTGATAGTATGTGATATTCTTGCACCTTTGGGTGAATTTTGGGATAAGGCACAAGAGTTGACAAAAGAACTAGTTGTATTTTTTGTAATTTTTTTTTCCACTTCTGAATAGATTCATTTAGGAGTTGGTATTAGCTCTATTCTGAATCAGAAATTACTTAAAATGTTATTCATTACGTCTGATATTTGACTAATTTTTGCAATATCTATCATGTTATCTTACAATAAATACTTGGTATTTAAAAATCTTACCTTACTGTAGTATGCTAATTAGATCTCTAATTAGACTTGTTTTTGTTACTTCTTCCTTTTTTATGCTTCAGCACTTGTCATATCATTTGAAATTTCCTAGACTAGAAATTGTTTAACACATTTGAGTGCCTACCCACTCATACAAGTGAAACCATTCCTTATGCAATCTGTTACTTTGAATCTAGTCATATAATATAAATTAAAGCATGAAGAAATTTTAGAGAGGCCATCACCTAGGACCAGACCTAGACTAATCCCTTCATTATGAGGCCTAAAGATGTCAAAAGATTTAAATAAAGTCTGTAATTAGAATCTTGGGTGCACCTGCAACTACACCCATATGTAACTTAGAGAAGGCATATAATAATGGTGGTTCTAAACAGATGTCACTCTTTGTTATGTAGAAGGTGTAAAATAAAATCCAGTTTCTCTGTCTTGGGCAAAAAGAGTTCTTTAAGGCATTTAATCTTCAGTTTTTTTTTCCCATCCCTGCCTATTTGTCCCTCATACTTTACCATCTGTAAGTGGGTCAGGCCCAGTTAATCCTCCCATCTGTAATTGACCCGAGGTCTCATACATGCTGAACCACTAGGTATAATGGAAAGATTCAGAGGTAAGAAAATCTTTGCTTTCCCTAGGTCATCTTAGTTGAACAGAGCAGGCATTCATTGGACCTATACCCAACTTTTGTATATAACAGGGGGAGTATTTGATGGAATAACCCTGAAACAACTGAAATTTTTTTACTTTTTTTTTTTGCTATGTTTTATTTTTACCGTTATCTTGATTTCCATACATTTTCTTTTTTCCTCCCTTATGGAGAGCCATCTTTTCATCACTTAGAATAAAAAGGAAGACAAAAACAGTTCAGGGAAACCAACCAGCACATCAACTGTGCCTGACCAGTATAATATCATAGCATTTAGTTTTGATTTTGTTTCCATTGACATTGTTTTGTTTTCCTAGTTCTATTTACTTTATTCTACATCTGTTCATATGGAGTCTGCTCTGTTTCTTTGAATTCTTCTTGTGTAATCGTTTCTTAAGACATAGTAATATTCCATTACATTCACTCATTCTTACTTGTTTGCCATTTCCCATTGATAGACATCTACTTTGTTTCCAGGTCTTTGCCACTACAAAATTGCTGTATTGGATAAAAACAAAAACCTCGTTTCTAAAAAAAAGACATTCAGTCTAGGAGTGCAACACGTAGCAACACCAAAGGAGGTTTCAACTTCACATATGTACTTCTCCTACAGGCTAGAGAGGAAAGTAGATATAACAAACTGATTGAATGTTTAGTCACATCATTAGCATTACTTAAAATTGGACTCCAGAATGATTTTTTTCTCTATTACTGTCTTTTTCATACTTTGCCAGTTTGATAGCCTTGAGTTTGAAAGTCAGGGTTATTTTGGTATGTGTTTCCCTTAAAGAAACTAGGTGGTACCATGGATAGAGAATGCTGGAACTGGAGTTAGAAAGACCTGGATTCAAATCCTGCCCCAGAGATTTAATAGTTATGTTGACCCTGGGCAAGTCATCTAATCTCTTTCAGTCTCAGTTTCTTCATCTGAAAAATGCAAATAATAGCACCTACTTCACAAGATACAATAATAATTTACAATTCTTCTTTTGAAAACTGTGTTCTTTGAACCACTTATCCTTTCAAAAACGGCTTTGGTCTTAATATTCATATTAGCTTCCTATGTTTCTTGGATGTAAGGTCTTTATTGGAGACATGATGCAAAAAATTTTTCCCAGTCAACATGTCCTTATTCTAGTTGCATCAGTTTTTAGTGCAAAAATTCAATTTCATGTAATTGAAATGATCTAGTTTAGTAATATTTGTACCCCTTGTTGCATTAAAACTCTTCCTCATCCCCAAATCCTAGATGTGAAAGGTCCATTCTGGGTCTCTACTTTATTTTTATGACATATTCTTTAATATTCAGGTCAGAAAGTCATTTCAAATTTATTGTGTTTTATAAGATGTTGGTCTGAACTTAGTTTCTGTTAAACTGCATTCCAGTTTTTCCAGAAGATCTTATGAAATAGGGAGTTCTCCCAGAGAATTTATATTCAAAAATTTATCGAACACTGTGTTTATTCAATTTGTTTCCAACTGGTCCTTATCTATGTTCTGCTGAACTACTTTCTATTTTGTAATTAGTACAAAATAACAAGTGTTCTTCACCCTTCACCCCTACTTCTTTTCATTATTTTCCTTCTGCTTCTTGACCTTTTTTACCCTGAATATATTTTGTTATTTTTCCTCACTCAATAAAGTATCTCCTTGTTTTTGTTTTTGTTTTTTTTATAATTTATCACTAAGTTCAAGTTAGATTTATGCCAAGGATACAAGAACGTTTCAACATTAAAAAAAACAATGTAATCATATTGAAAACACAGACAACTTCAAACCACTCTCAATAGATTTTTTAAAAAGAAAACTTATTTTTTAAAATTAGTTAGTTTATTTTTTGTTTTCAACATTTACTTCCATAAGCTTTTGAGTTTTAAATTTTCTCCACCTTTCCCCCTCCCCAGTACAGCATGCAATCTGTTCTAGGCTCTACATATACATTCTTATTAAACATATTTTCACATTAGTCACATTGTAAAGAAGAAATAGAGCAAATGGGAGGAACCACAAGAAAGAAAAAAACAAAACCAAAAAAAAGAAGAGCAAATAGTATGCTTCGATCTGCATTCAGACTCCGTAGTTCTTTCTCTGGATGTGGACAGCAT